AGGGGACATAGAATGCTTTTATGTAGCCTGGTACATGTCTAGATTCCCCTGAATGATTTGCTTTGCGAGGCGTAATAATGTACCGTACTTATCCAGGTAGGAGCCCATGCCTGGGCAAACTCCCCCCCCCCCCCACTTTTGACACAATAAAGAAGTTGAGGTCATATCCGGGCACACGGCCAGGGTTTTTTTTTCTACATAAAAAAATAACAAAAACTATTTTCTATTCGTTCACTGTGGTTGTATTAACAGTTGACTTTCTTGAAGTCTGTCGTGATGCTTATAAAAATTCTTTAAATATTATTGTTAATTGCGAAATAGCTGTAACAGCTTTCTGCATTCACCGCTGATTTTTTTCAGAATCATAACAGTCAGCAAGTCTATAAAAATATATATTAAAGCAGAAACGGTAGTTCTCTTTTTGAAATATGTCGTGGCCCTAACAAGGGCCGGCCGTTTGGTTTGTGCTTCCCTAGAAACGATTCAAGCAAATCTTATAAGGAGAGCCGCTAAGCAAGTGTCGCACTCGTTCGGCTTTAGCGTCGTCGATAATGAAACCAATGTTGCAATATTGTAGCAACCCGTACCTAGGAGAGTGGTTGAAATCATGTTATTTTGGCTTTATAAAATATTTGGTAGCAGCTTGCGAATCCATAACTGGGGCCAGCAATTGTGCAATGTCACGCCGAAGACTGCCAACTTGTTTACTATCTTTCATCACCGCTATTGCATTTCTGTCATGAAACCTATTCGTCTGTCGTTGGATAAAAAAAAACTTCCTATTTCAAGTCCACCGCGATATCCATATAGTGAGACATTCCAACCACCGGAACTTGCTGAATGATAACTTTCACTGTGATTGATAAATGTCGAGTCTGATAAGAAAGCAAGTCACGATTTGACCTTTATGATGAAATACTAGTAGTGATGTCATTTTTATCCAATCAGTAAAGCAGATGCATAAAGTTCAAAGATGATTGCCAGACTGTAAACAAAAGCATCATGTGCCATCGCATTGTCTTTATTGTGATTAGACTAAGTGCTAAGTCCAAATTGTGTGGGACGATATCGACGAACTTCAGGAAGAAGTTGTAGGGATTTTGTTCAACGGCCGACTTGGACTTTAAAGGTTTTGAGTATGACGAAGATGGCAATGAACAACGTACAAATAAAGATCTGAGAAGTTTTTAGCTCCGCTATCGACTTTGTCGAGCGGAGCTTATCATATAAGTGATTGTCCTCCGTCTCCGTCGTCGTCCGTGTCAATGTTTTACTTTTTCAACCTCTTCTTGAAAACTACAAGCCTGAAAGCTTTGATACTTGGTGTATATGTACCTTGGGTAGACCCCTCTCAGATTTGTTCATTTCATGATGATATCTTCAATTCTCTAATTTTGGTGAACATTTTTGGTAAAAAGTGATATTTTCGACTTCTTGTTAAAAACCGCAAGTCCAATTGCTTTTATTAGTTCCGCTGTCGACTTTGTCGAGCAGAGCTTATCATATGAGTGATTGTCCGTCGTCGTCCGTGTCAATGTTTTACTTTTCCGACTTCTTCTTGAAAACTACAAGCCTGAATGCTTTGATACTTGGTGTATATGTACCTTGGGTAGACCTCTCTCAGATTTGTTCATTTCATGATGATATCTTCAATTCTCTAATTTTGGTGAATATTTTTGTCATTTTTGGTAAAAAGTGATATTTTCGACTTCTTGTTGAAAACCGCAAGTCCAATTGCTTTGATATTACATATATAGGTACTACATGTGGACCTCTCTCAGATTTGTTTATTTTCTAATGATATCTTCAGTTCTTAAATTGAAATGTGCATTGCTAACAGTGGAGCTATCTCAGCCGAGAGGCTGCTTGTTTCACACAGCTATGAATTTTTATAATTTTTACAGTGTAAATTTGTAAATTATTATTGATCTTGTATGACAGTTGATTTGTAATTTGTCGAGACCGGAAATCATTACACACAATTTAACCCCATGACATTTTAATTCATTTTGAGTTCACGCGTATTGGGCGTGTTTGTCGGCGGGAAAATCCTAATTCAAATGATTCCTCACTGTCGATTTTTATTATTTCTGGTTTATTTGTCACATTATAAGCAATACATTAATTTTGTTTTACTTCTAATGTTGCATATTGTGCATTTATTTCCATTGCATGTTTTCATTTGCTGTTCTATTCCCTGCCGCAGTTCGATCTGCGTGTTGTCAATTTTCGTTTTTTTTACCGGGATCTTCTGGCAATTTTCCATGTTCAAGACCCTGGGCTTATACCCGGATAAATACAGTATAAGTAGTTTCCCTGGTCAGTCTAAGAATAGCCACAGTCAGCTGGCGTGCAAGTGATAATCCACTGATATTTACTATATAGGGGTAGCCATCTTGAACACTGCTTGAAACTAAATAAAGAGAAACAGTTTCCTACAAATCAGGGAGAAAATAAACTTTCATATCCAAACGATTTGTTGGGGTATCATTAAGCCAATCGCTAATAAAATTTGACTTCATTCGTTGTTTTTGCATGGACAATCCCATTACATGAATAACACAGAACACTTTCCCTGGTATATTTGAAAGTGAAATATCCATCCAACTCTAAGACCGTCACTGATTAGCTCCTAAAGTATGACGATCGTCCCCTACTGTTATATAGATTCACCAAGAGTGGGCGTGACCACAAGACGGCACCAGGGAGATTCAAAAGCAAACCGTTTAGTCAAAACCCAAGCAGTTAGCCAATTCACTAGCCCCAATACTTCTGAGACTTGCTGTAATATATTCTCTGTTCAATAAATCTTAATTCAAACATTATTCACAAAGTTGTCATACCATATCTCTGTTGAAGTTTTGTATCACAGTTGCAACAAACTTTAACCTCAGCCACCAGCACCTAAGTCAAAGTGAAAACCAGATCTCAGTATCAACAGTCCTATTTGTCATAGCAAGCAGGCATCAAGGCTTTAAAATTAATGAATGAAAAGTTGAGAAATATGGTTGTTTTCAAAGCAGATAGGGCGTGTACTTTAAATTACGCCAGACAATTTAGAAAAAGGCTTTATGTACACATACATTGTTGTTGTTGTTGTTGTTGGAAGCCAGTAAGGCCACACTGATTTAATTTTATGGATGACATCCTCTGGAGACCCCAAAACTAATGCGAGAGGGCGAAAAAAAAAAAAAAAACCTGCCAAAAAAAAAAAAAAATGCTGCTAAAACCACTTGAACCACAGAACACAGTGTATCAAAAAACAACAAGAAGTCTTTATTTGTAGGAGGCACATGTTGATATACACATCTCGTACTGTATTACTGTCACAGGTATAACCATTTCAGACAAGCTCTAGTACATGTAGTCATGATGAAGTACCTTCAGTCAAAAACACTGCATTCAAGGTACAACATGAACATCATTTTCAGTACAAGTCAAGGCGGAATGTACATATCACTACTTTATGACAATAACTAACAAAACATTGCAATGATACAGAAATGTCCTTGCTTGCTCCTCTCTACACAGTAGGGGTTAGCTTTAACCAATCTCTCGTATAGCTGTGTAAACGTCATATCTCCCTGGACGACGTCAATTGCGTACCAGTCTACAACAATCCCTCAGTTTTTTTTCTGAACTTTTATGCTCACGTATTCCCGGCAACGCAATACGCATGTGCAGAAGATCATTTACGACAAAATTGGCACGTTTTAAGATAGTCCAAAAAGAGTTTTACAACAAGCCGGCGCTTTGCGACAATATGAGTCTGCAAGTTCCGGACAGAAAACCGATCTGTGGAAGCTCGTCGTCGGAGATTTTTTTTTTTTTTGAAAACAGGCGAAAACTAATGCGCGCGTGGATGTCATCCATAAAATTAAATCGGTGTGGCCTAAATCATTGCCATAATTATCCAATCTTAAGTTAAGTCAACAAAGATTCCATAACATCAGCTTTTTTAACTGCTTATATATTTTTCTGACCAAGTGATGTATCCCACACAGCTAACGCAAATTGGATTGTCTGTGGAATAATGTCACTTATCGGTAAAGTTCATTTCTGAACAAGTTGAAGAAACCATGTTATTGCAGATAAAGAATTTGGATGTTTTAATTATTGTGCTCAATAAAACCACAGATGTAACATTGAGCAACTCGCATTGAAGTACTTAGGTATTAATTGACGATACTGACAATGTGTCAGTTTACTTTGTGAAGCTCATTGAACCGTTTAAATCGAATGACAAAATTGCACCTGCCTCTTTGAATACAGCGAATATCACAAGACACATAATGTCACAAACAATAAATTTAAATTCAGCAAACAATGTGGTATTCATACCACTATCAGCTATGACGGAGAAACACAATGGTGTAGTTAAGTGTCTGTGTTTTGATATTGGAGATTCAGGCCACTTTCTGTCATGTGAAGTGTGACACAAAACTTATGTTCATTGACATTCTGTGTAAATAAATGATGTAGATTTCGTATGAAACATAGTATAGATTGTATTTAGGGGTCCTTAGGGCAAGGCCCCTATTATTATCGTTCTTTCTTCTGTAACTTTTTTCGTCTAGTCGTTAGAGAAAACCGCTGAACAGAATGGTCTGAAATGCTCTATACTGATAGTCCCTAATGTGAACTGGTGCACCTAACTTTCAGAATAAAATTTTGATTATTCACATGGTTTGGCCGCCATCTTGGGTTTTGTGAGAACAGGAAATGGGCAATTACATGTGTGGTATTGGTCTGATTGGAGTGAAAATTTGTATGTACTTGCTACTCCTGGCGCCCATGGGGTGGGGGTTTCTCACCTCATTAATATGCATAACCTTTACATATCAAACACTTTTGCAATTAGGAAGATGAAAGCTACATTATTAAGATGATGTTAAACAAGAGCTCTCACTAAAATAACAGATGACCGTATATGGTCACATGAACTTATTAATATGCATAACTGTCATATCTGAAACACTGGACATTCAACTAGTGCCATAATGAAGTAATCAAACAAAGGATGTAACTAACATAAAAGAATACCATATACTAGTATGACATTGTAACCTCATTAATATGCATAAGCACATGGCTCTTTATATATTCTAAAAACTATATCTCGGTAACCAAACAAGGTAAATAGAAGGAACGAGGGGCACGTCAACCTCATTGTACAAAGTACATATCATTCAAAGTACCTTAATGGCAACCCAGTGACCACTTTAATTATGGATTTTGTCTGATAGCTTGGGCCCTGTGACGCTGCTTGCAGCTTTAATTTTATAATTATTCTTGTGAAATGCATCCGTTACAAGTAACTTTGTTCATCTATTTCAACATCCTGACATTTTTAGCAAGGCGATGATCTGTCTGTTCATTTTGAAAAGTGCAACTCGGTAAAAATAATTCTGAACCAATAACACAGATACAGATTTCAATGACTTTGAATGACCAGGGTAGAATTTCTGTTCAACATGAATAATTTGAACCTTTGTGGATATCATTTTGTTTTTCACCATCTGATTCAAAGTGGCTGATTAGTCGCCAATTTTGTTTCAATGAATGCAGTTCATGAACCATATCTTTGACAGTTCATGATCAACTTGTTACGTTTCTTGAGCTTGGTAACTCCTGGAAACCAATTAATGCAATTACTTGTTTTCTGTAGATTAGCTGAATGGTTGAGCAAACAAGCTGACAAAGAAAGAGAAAGAGAAGAAAAAAAGAGGGCAAAGTTGGAAAAACTTGCATCAGATCCAAAACATTATTTTGATGACCCTAAATACCATGAACAAAAGCAAACTATAATGGAGAACATTGATGATGCTTTGACACAAGGTATACAGTGCAATACATGTATATATTTGGGTACAATGCTAGTGATGCTTTGACACAGTGCAATACATGTATATATTTGGGTACAATGCTAGTGGTGCTTTGACACAGTGCAATGCATGTATATATTTGGGTACAATGCTAGTGGTGCTTTGACACAGTGCAATACATGTATATATTTGGGTACAATGCTAGTGATGCTTTGACACAGTGCAATGCATGTATATATTTGGGTACAATACTAGTGATGCTTTGACACAATTTTGTGACAATATCTTCAAATCTCTAATTGAATCCCGTGTGCAAAGCACAAAAGACAGTCTTTGCAGCTACCCTGTCTGATTGCTTTTATATTTCATATATAGGTACTACATGTGGACCTCTTTCAGATTTGTTAATTACGTGGTGATATCTTCAATTATCTAATTTTGATGATTATTTCTGTCATTTTTGGTGAAAAGTTATATTTTTGAATTCTTGTTGAAAACAGCAAGTCCCATTGCTTTGATACTATACATTTTGTTCATTTTCTAATGATTCCCTCTGTTCTGTAATTGCAATGTGCATTGCTAACAGGGGAGCTATTTCTGCCGACAGGCTGCTTGTTGAATTCTTGTTGAAAACAGTCTTATTGCTTTGATACTATACATATTGTTCATTAGTCCCCGTTCAGGCACAGCCTGAAAAGGGGACTTTATAATTCAGGTTTTGTCCGTTTTCCGTCTCCAACATTTTCTTAGAAATTCTACAGCAGGTATCAGTGAAACTTGGCAGGTTGATGAACAAGTGTCTTCCGGGTATGCACGTAATTTTTTTTCCAGATCTGAAAATCCCAAGTGGGTCTTTTTCACGATTTTTATCAAAAATTACCTCTCCCGGCAACATTGACAGAACCTCTGCGCATGCTCAGAATAAATTAATTACTGTAAAATACTTTATTTTTGCTTGCAACATTTTTTCGCTATTTTCGCTGAAGGAATGTTTCAGTTAAAATAAAATCCAGCGAATATTCCCTTTTTCCACTATTTTACACTCAAACTTGTCAAAAATCAATGAAAATAAATTCAATACAAAAAACAGCCAGAAAAAGTCTTTTCAGCGAATGATAATTCCAGCTGAAATAAAATATTTTACAGTAGATCTGTGAGTAACGCTACAGCACGTGATTTCTCCATTGCGTGCAATTTATCATAGTACTGTTTATACATGTATTCTGTTCGGCTCAGTGGTCTCATTCAGTAGTTACTAGAAGAACTAGTAACCTTATTTGATTTCAAAAACTTCAAGAAGGCGGCATAAGAGACATGTTTGCAAAGGTAAGTTCTCCAGTTTCTACAAAATTGAATGTATTTTGGGGTACGATTGGTGTACATTCCGTTACGTACGTACGTACGTACGTACGTACGGACGTGAATATTATGATGATTGCTAGCTTGTGAAAAGCCAAAAAAGCAAACAATTGTCTCCAATCTACGAAACTAGTTTGTAAATTGTATACCCTGTCAAATTATAATATTGTACACGGACAATTAATTCATGGGGACATATTTATCAAGTAAATCGTTATCCGGTCTTTTGCTTGTGTCGCGATTTCGA